TACCTTTACAATTGTCTTTGATATTCTATTTTTTATTGGTGCTTTTTATTTATTTCTTATATATCACAATTTTCTATTTTCATAAAATTTTTAGTTCCTCTAATATGTTTACTTGAGTTATTATTAATTATCATATTATTATCATAATCAAGATTTTATATTAAATTATTTTAAATTTTTGTTGGTTATATATTTTATTACAAATCATTAAACAGTTGATTTTATTATTATGCATTATATTATTATATATTAAACTATTGTTTTTAATGTAAATCATTTTGTTATTAAATTTAATATTATTATTAAAAACTTAAATTTAACTATTATTATTATTATTATTCATATTATTACTAAATGTAAGGACTTTAGTTTTATTACCTATTTATATTATTTTTTTAGAATTATTTTTATTACTCTTATATTTCTTCATAATTATATGGTTATAATTGTTATTTTGCAATATTGTTTTATTATAATTATTATTAAGAAAACTTAAATTTATTATTTTCACTAGGAAAGTTTCCGTAATTTTAATTTTGATCTATAAATTATTATTTTTAAATATAAACATCCTGTTTGGTTTTTTCTTTTTATTTCATTTATTATTCTAAAATGTTTTTATATTATTCTTTTTTTACTCTTTATTCTTAGAATTCTTTTTCCTTCTATAATTCAATTATTTGAACTTTTTTTCTTTCATTTTCTTCTTCTATTTTTCTTACTACTTTTTCCTAATATTCTTAATATTTATTTTTTTCTTAAATCTTATATATAATATAAAAATAAAATAAAATAAACTTTTTTAAAAAATAAATACTTATTATTATAAAGCTTAATTATAATTTTTTTTTATTTCTTATTAATGATAATTAATATTTTTGTCATCAAATTAATTCTTTTATTATTATTATTTAAATTAATCCATATTATCTATATTTTCAATATTATTGTAAGAAACTGGATTACTTAAATTATTTTCTTTATTTATTTTTTCACTTTAATGACTGTTTTGAAAATTATTATTGATATGATTTAAATATTCTTCTTTTTATTCTATATTTTAATATGATTATTATTATTATTATTATTATTATTATTATTATTATTATTATTATTATTATTATTATTATTATTCATATACTTAATTGTTTGTTCCTGTTGTATTATCGGCTTATTCTTTTTTATATATTTTTTTTTATTTTTATGTTTTAAACCAAAAAAGAATAATTTACTTTTTAATCTTTCTTCTCTTTATTATTTTTTTTTTTCCCATATTAAATCTCTTTTTGATTTGGCTTCCATTTATATTTTTAATTCTAATTTTAAAATATATACTTATGTATATATAATTTATTTTTTAAATCTTATTTTTTTTTGTTTTATTTTGCTTTTTTTTTTTTTTTTAATAATAATCTTATTAATAATTTACATAAAATAAATAATATAAAATCATAAATTAAATAAATATAATTTTTATAGTTTTATCTATTCAATAAATAAATTTTAAAAGCAAGAATCTACTATGTAGCATATTTATACTTAAATGCCTATTTTCTATTGCACATTTGTAACATTTTTCCAAATTTTCTCCTGTTAATTATTATAAAATATAAGCCTTTCTATATGGATTTTCTTCGAATTCATTATAGGCTTAAATAGCATTTTAATTTGAGTTTGTTATTTAATTATCAAATGAGAAATCTAATAATTAATTATGAAAATTTTAAGTCATCTAAAACTTACTACTCATTGCCCCATTTACATCTACATCTTAGTAATACGGTGAAGAATATACTAATTTTCCTCCAAAATCATAATATGAAGTGAAATTTGTACTACTCATGAATAAATAATATTTTATTTATTTTTATTTTAATAATAATAATAATATTTTTTTTTTTATAATAAAAAATACTAATATTTTTTGGTAAAATAATACGATTATTTCTATATATTACCTCTCTTCCTAATTATAAAAATACATAATATATAAAATATATATAAAGTTAAAATATTTTATTAAATCTAAAAAAATAAATATTTAATTAAATTAAAAAATAAATGTTCAACTAAATTATTCCGAAAATGCTCCCTTCAACCCATAAAGGATCAAACGGTCGAATAGCAATAATAGGCGGTTGTTTAGAGTATACTGGTGCGCCTTATTTTTCCGCGATTTCCTCTTTAAAAAGCGGTTGTGATTTATCCCATATATTCTGTACAAAATAAGCCGCAATTCCCATTAAATCTTATTCCCCTGAATTAATAGTCCATCCCTATTTAAGTGCAAGTAACGAAACTACTGAAAAATCCGAAAAAATACATAAATAGCGGAAACTTTAGAAAACTTATTAAAATGGTAGAGTACATTTAATGCCTTTATTTTAGGTCCAGGATTAGGTAGAGATGAATGGATAGGAGAGATATTATCTGAATTTATCAAAAATAAAAAGGAAGGACAACTTTTAATACTAGATGCAGATAGTCTATGGTTTTTATTTAGTTAAAAAAATGAATAAAATTAAGGTTTTATTCCTAAGCTTAAGCTAAACTCCTCAAAAACAATACTTACGCCTAATAATGTCGAGTTTAAGAGACTTTATGAGGCTTTTTGTTCCTAATAGGACTCTTTTGATTATGAAAAAAATAATAATTTAATGCAAAATATTCTTTAAGATAATCCTTCATAATCTTTTATTTAAATTAATATTGATCATCCAGTAGTTTAAAAAACGGTTTAACTTTCTTAAAAATTTAATAATATTATAATTGTACATAAAGGCTTTTTAGATATTATAACAAATGGAAAAAAAGCTTTTTTAATTATGTAAAAATCAAGTTTAAAAAGATGTGGTGGATAAGGTGATATTTTAAATGGTTTATTAGCAGTTTATAGTTATTGGGCTACTTAAAGTATTATTTAAGAAACTTTGGGGATTAATAATAATGAGAAAGAGTTGATTGGGTGTATTTTAGCATGTTTAGTTACAAGAAAATCAGCTTTTTTGGCTTATTAAAAATATAAATATAGCTTAGTAAGTAATAATATAATTGATTATATAGGAGAATCTTTCGAATAAATAAGTGAATGTTAGGATATATTTATATCAAAGTTATGAATGATAATAATTTCTTATAAAAAATAAAAAAATATAATATATATATATAAATTATTATAAATTTATATAATTTATTTTTTTCATTCATAAATATTTTTATTTTATATAGATATTATTTTAATATAATTAGATTTATTTATAAAAATAAATATAAATATATATAAATATATATATATATATATATATTTATTTAGTATATATATTTTTAATATACATTATGATTTTTAAATACGAAACTAATTATAATAAAATTAAACCTTTTTTTTGAATAATATTTATTACCTCATTAAAGAGAATATAAATTACCTTTAAAAATAAGAATTTGGCGAAATAATAGTATTATCGCTATTTTTTTATAAACAATTGTTACTATAACTTCATTAATACTATATTCGATTAGAAGAGTAACTTTTTTATTTTTAAAGTATTATTATTTATAAAAGATACGATTAGGAATTCTGATAAATTTATTTAATTTAATTTTGGTTTATTTTTTTGGCAAAAAAGGTGTTCTGGAATTAAATTTTATGTATATTGCTATACATAGTATTGTAAAAACTACTTATAAAATAATTATTTGATAAAAAAAAAGATTACATCTTCTGTAATTGGTATAGTTTTCCTATTTTCTTTACTTGAAATATTATTCTAAAGTGTATATAATAAAATTCATATATTATAGATTCGATTTATATTTTTTTTATTTAAAAAATACATATAAAGGATGAAAATAATGATAAATTAATGCTTATCATTTTTTGCGTGCCTTACTTAGTCGATTTTTTAGCTGGTTTATGTCTTTTAAAGTTGCTTTTTATTATGAAAGAGAATGAATAGGAAGAAGTAAAAACTTAATAAAAAATTTAGGGAATTTATTTATTTATATAAATAGAAATTAATAGAAATTCCTTTTTTAGAATAATAAGATTAATGTGTCATTTGTTGTTTATAAAAAAGAAATACAGTTTTTTATAAATGCGGTCATAAAGTGGTTTGCTATTAATGTTCTATTAAAATAAATAGCTAATATAAGAAATTATGTCCTATATGTAGACATGAGATTGAAGATATAATTATATAATATGAATGAAATTAACTAATTACATATACTTATTATTAGATTAAAAATAGCTTTTAATTTATTATAAATAAATATAAAAAAATTGAGAGAATTATAATTTGATTTTGTTGATTTAAATAAATTATAAAAAAATAAAACATTTTAAATTTTTTTATTTTATTAAAAAAAAATCAAAAACCTAATTAATAAAAAATATATATATAAATATAATTTTTATATAAAAAAATAAATTTTTTATATTATAATAAAAAAAAAAAAAAATTCATATATATATATAAAAAAAAAAATAACAACAATTAAATTATTTTAAAAAAATGGATAATAATACATTTGGTTTAACAGGAGTTAATTTAACAAACGAATAAAATCAATCTTAATAAAACCTAAAATAATAACAATAAACCCAAAGAACTTCAAGGTAACAAACATCACCTTTACTAACACATAAAAACGTAAATAAATAATAAAATTTATATTAAAAACAATTAAAATAAGCAAGAATTCTAAAAAAGTATAAGTAAACTACCTTTAATTGAAATCAAAAATGCTCCTAAACAACCTATGTTAATTCAAAACGAAAGAGTATAATTAGAAAACCGGACTTAAACACACCTCAAATAATCCCAATCCGAAAGCAAAATCGAGAACTTGAGATATTTAATAGACCAGGAGAATATTAATTAAAAAAATAACTACAAAATTAACGAAACAACCAAAAAAGAAACTACAAGACCCATTCAGAAATCTAAAAAACTCAAACCAACTCTTTTCATAAAAGATAAGACCAAGAATTTTAAAAAATGAAAGAAAAGCGAAAAGTTTTAGATATTTACAAGTAATAAATAGTACAAGACTTCGATACATTATACGAAAAAGACACTGAAAAGAAAATAATAACTAAATTACAAAACCTTGAAAAAAAGCAAAAACTACAATAAGAATTAAAAAGAAACGAATCAATTCTTTCTAACGAATTAAAATCCTATAATACAATAAAATACGAAATAAAAAAAAAAAAACAAGAATACGATAATCTATTAAACTAATTAAATAACTGCGACTTCGTTTTTACTTAAGAAAAAGACCGTAACGAGCTTGAAAAGCTCAAATAAACTCAAGAAGACCTCGTTTAAAAATTAAATGACTCTTAAAATATCTAAATGTCCCTAAAACACATGAGCGATACCCGAAAAAAGCTAATTTTATTCGAAAAAAAGCAAGTAGAATAACTATATGAAGAATACCAAAAACAATGTAAAATATTAAACAAAAAAAGTGAAAAACAAATTTCTTTCAAACAAAAACTCGAAAACCTTTCCATTTAGTAAAAAAACTAATAAAAACTAAACAGTCTAGCTCTTCCAGAAAGATTCAAAGAACATCTAGAAGACTAACTAAGTCAATTTGAGGACAAAAGATCAATACAGGAAATTTTTAAGCATGAAAATAAAAGAAAAGAAGAGTAAATATAAAAAGAATAAATGCGAAAAAAAGAAGAACTAAAACAACAGAAACTAGAAAAGGAAAAACAAGCCGAAAAAATAAAAGCCGAAAAAAAAGTTATAGAATAAGATTTAGCTAATAAAAAGAAGAAAATTGAAGATTTACTTAAAGTATCTTTTGTATCTAATATAACAGCTTTAGAAGCTCATAAAAATTTCATGGAATAAACCATTTAAGAGCTAAAAGAATTCCAAGTCTATTTCTAGTCATAAATAGACAATTAAAAATAATAAAATTAATAAAAAAAAAGCCTTTTAGAAAATTTAAAATTCGTCCAAAATCAAAGAAGGGCTTCTATTTCTATTCAAGAAAAAGACGTAGAAAAAAGCGAGAAAATTCTTATTTAAGAAAATTCCAAACTACAAGAAGCATAATAAAAAGTAAGAAGACTCGAAAAAATAATTGACTAAATCTGCCTTGTATAATCTAGAATAAACTACTAATTATAACCTAAAAATCTCAAAAATAAAAACGCAGAAGTTAAAAGGGAGGAACTTATAGATTAAATAACCCTATCAGGCCTTAAACTAGAAAAAATAGTTGCCTTTTTAGCGAAAAAAAAAGACCCATAAAGAGTTGAAAGTATAAATACAGATGCTGATTATCACAAACCCCCTGAATATATAGGTATTAATCCTCTTAACTATACCAAATATTGGGAAAATTAAAATATTAATAACTTAAATGAAGATAAATTCATGTTTTAACAAAATGAAAATGACGAAGATCAATATTAAAATACTATTAGAAAACAAATCCTTGTTAATAATAACAGTAATCATATTAATAACAACACTAATATTAATAATATAATTAAATGAAAAAAAAAATCAATATAAATATGTTTTTGAAAAAAGCAAAACAAAGATTTATTAAAATAAATATTATTAACAAATTTATTTATTAATATAATTAAAAAAAATAAAATATATATATATAAATTATTATTTTCAATATATAAAAAAGTAAAAACTAAATAAATATGCATATATATATATATATATATTATATATATATATATATATATATATATATAAATCAAGATAAAGGATTTTAATTAATGACACCAATATTTCCCCTTGCAAGCCCTGCATCAAGCATAGAAACTAAATAATTCGCATATTCATGAGCTCCTCTTTCAAGTTCTTCTTATTTTCTTTTTTCTAATCTTCTATGATGTTTAATAGTTTCATTTTTTATTTTTTTTATTTCCTTTTTAAGATTTTTACTACTTTCTTCATTTTACTAAACCATTTTATCTGACTCTAATTTAATTTAATCTGCAATATCTAAATATTATTTAAATTTATTTTCAATAAGATCTTTATTATAGTCATCAAACTGCGTAAACTTCATCTTAAACCCCGTAACATAGTTTTTAGTTTTATAATTAAACGAAGTAATATACTTAGCTAAAATCGGCGAAAACTTTATCGGCATAAGGACCCTTTTATTCCTTACATTAGATAATTATTTATTTTAAATCGCTGGTAATTATTAAACTTAGTTATTATTTTAAAAAGAAACACTTTAATTTTCCATATTTTTTCCCCCCCCACTATTTCCATTTTAATCTAATCTTTTTAACTTACCATTATTTTCCTAAGCCAATATATTCCCCGCTCCCAAATCCAAATTCCATTGATTCCAGTATTTATTCGGATTCGATATTTAAATACCAGTAAATAACCTCGAAAACTCATTCAATAAATCGCTCTTTAAATCATTATCGAATTCGCTTCTACTTTTCGGGAACGCATAAAAAAACGAATAGAATACTGCCTAGGCTATAATATCGAAATACTTCTTAAAAAACATATTATTATCTACTTTATTTTCTATCGAAAGTAATATATTTACATAATTTCTAGCCAATCTATTCAAAAGACAACCTTAAATTTTCAAAAACCTATCTTTTTCATTAAAAAATTCCCCCTTTTCCTCATATTATTTTCTTAGCTTTTTCTCTTAAAATCGGCTTATAGCATACCAAAATGAATCACTTACAATCGCTATATTCTCCTCTAATGATAAATATCTCATCCATTTATCATATTCGCTCTCTTTTTTCTTGTTTTTGTTGTTTTCTTCGATTAACTATCCGTTTGCACCCCATTCCTCTTACTTTTTTATATGACGGGCGTTCACTATATTTTATATTATTCTCTTAAATTCTACTTGTAAAGGTAATTTTGTATACATTTGGCTAAAATCAGTTGGAAGTTCGGCCTTTTCGATATTATATATGTGACCTTTTTTCTTTTAGAAACCTAATTTGGATAAATCGTCTTAATTGCTCGAGTTTTAGTATTCGTAATCTTTGGTTTTTGTCTCGGTTATAAAGCCTTCGTTTTTGCTTTTTAATGATTCGAATCTTTGATATGCTTATTATTCCATTTATTAATATTATATTTAATGCTTAGTTTTATTATGTTATTTATATATTTTTAATTTATTTAAATATTTTTATTTTTTATTTATAAAATTAAAAATAAATTCTTAAATTTTTTTTTTTATTAACAATAATTCTCATAAATATATATATTTTAATAATTAATATAAATTTAAACAATATAATTTCATCTAAACTATATTTATTCATTGTGCAGATCAATTTATATAGGATTATTTTATTAATACATTTAATTAATAGGAAAAACTTAACTATTTACTTAATTACCTTATTAAGTACATAATAAGTACTTATCTCTAATTAAAGAACATCTAGTAGAACATAAATTATCTATAGAATGTGAATAACTTCTTATTTTTTCTGGACATGGAGTATTATAGATATTATCATTTAATTGAAACCCTTTATTTTATATATTTTTTATTTCTTCATTTAATTAAATATTCTATGTTTTATAAAATATCATTTTTTCATTTAATTCTAAAAAAATAATATTTATATATTAATTTATTAAATTTTTACCTGCAATTTTATCTCTTAAATTATGTTCATTTTAAATATAATGTTAACATTAAAAACATTAACTATTTTAATAATTATTCTTATGCTAGCTATTATCTTTATTAATTAACTGTAATTAATTTATATCTTGTTTCAGTTAATTATATCTTTGATTTAATTCATTATATTAAAAATCTTTTTTTTCTATTATTGATGTAAGATTATGAACATATTCGACAAATTAATTAATTTTATTAAGCAAAATGTTTATATAATTTTATGGATTTTAACAATTATATTAAAACTATTAATTTTAATTATTTCTTATATAATTCAAATTATTATTATTAAGCTTTTTTAATAAAAGTGAATTTGTATCATTTAAAACTTGAATTGTGCAATAATTTTCATCATTATTATTTTTTGAGAACTGCATTTATTTTTTTAAATAAAAATTCTTTTCTGTTATTAATAAATTTTATAATTAGTTAAAATATAAGTATTTACTATTAATAATATATAAATATAAAATATTATATTTTATATATATATATATATATATTTATATTATTATAAATATATAATTATGATTAATCATTTTTAATTAATAAAGCTATTTTATATATTACAATTATTTTATATTAAATAAATAAAAATTTATATTAATTATGATTTTAAGATTTTATTAAGATACAAAATATATATAATCTAATAATAATATAAATAATATTATACTTTTTTAAACCATAATTAATTAAATATAAAAAATTATTTAATTTAAATAATAAAATTAAAATAAATTTATTTTATTAATAAAAACTATAAACTTTCCTTATAAAATTAAAATATAATCAAAAATAAAATTAATAATAAATACATATATATATATTTTTCTTCTAATAAAATATTATTTTATTAATTTAAATATTTGAAAATAAAATAAAACATAAATATTTAATAAAATAAAACTTAAATATTTAATAAAAAATTGAATTTAAATTTATTTAATATTTTACAATTTCTTTTATTTCCTGAACACAGAATTTTTAAAAAACTATAAACGTCTTTATTTTAAAAATTTATACTGTCTATGTTTTTATAAAACGTAAAGAGAAATGTTACTAAAACTTTTATTTTAAATAATAAAAACTATTACTATTAAAGATAGTATTTAAATAAATTATTTTTTATTAATATTTTCAATCTTTAAAAAAATAAAAAAAACAATAAAATATAAATTAAAATATATTTAAAAATGCTAATTTACAAATTAATTTTCATCATAGTTTTTACAAGTAATCTTTTTCTTAAATGAAAATAAAATAATACTTAATTATTATAAAAGCATATTATTCTCAATAAAACTAGGATTTTAATATGTTATAAATCCAGAATTAAAGTAAATTTAAAAAATAGTTATTTCAACAAAAAAATAAATAATAAAATAATAAAATTATTATAGATTCTAATCATAATTAAGTAAAACATTCAATTATAAAAAGTAAAGTTTTAAAATAATAAAAATATAATTAAAAAATAAATAAAATTAACTTATTTATTAAATTCTTTTCTAATAGCAAATAAATAATAAGAACAACTAGCTTATAATAAAAAAATATAATTTTTATAAATGAGTTTATTAGCTATTTTTTTAATAGCAATATTCTCTTTCATAATATCTTTTGTTTTGTTATACGTAATATTATTTTTATTTAATTTTTTTTTTTTTTTTAAAAAAAAAAAGAAAATGAAATAATTTTTTTTTTAAATATTTTTAATTAAAAAGTCAAAAAAATGTAAGATGTTAGCAAGTTAAATTTAAAGTGAAATAGAATTACTCAAAAAATATAAAGAGACATAAGAAAAATTAAAACAATATGGAAAACTAAACTAATGAAAAAAATTAAATATATTGTATAAATTATATTAAAATAAATATTATATCTAAATAATAATATATTTTCCTTATTTCATATATTATAAATATTTTTTTATTAATTTCTTTATTCTATTTATAAATTGACTGTCTTCTGTTTGTATTTATTTAATAATAAATTTATATTATCAATAGAGTTATCGGAATCACTTTACTCTAAATCATCTTAAATGTTATCTTTAACCTTTATATTTTTTTAATTAGAACCTACATTTTAAACTTAATCATTTCTAAAAGAAACATTAATATTTTAATTATCGTTAAATACACTTTTTTTAAAAAAAAAATAAAATATTTTATTAATAAATAAACAACTAAGAGTTAATATTAATAAAATATATAATTTCTTACTTATTATTTATTCGATCATTATAACAATATTTTGTTTTTTTTATATCAAAATCTATATTAGAATTATCGATTTCATTATCGAAATTTTAATTTTCTATATTACTTTGTTTTTATTAAATAAACTATTGTAATCTTTTTTTTCTTTATTCTAAATGATCTTAATTAACATCTATTTCTATAAAAATTAATAATATTATTTTATATAAAATTATGTTTTAAAAATAACTTAATTAATTCTTTTTTTTACCTTCAAAACTTTTTTAATATTTTAAGTTTTTTTCATAATCTTCATATTATTTTTATTATAAATAAGGCTTTTATTAAATATTAGTTTTTTAATATTATAAGTTTTCGTTAGAATCATCTAATTAGTCTATATTAAGGTTTTTTATACAGACTTTAAAATCTATTTATTTCCTAATTAATTTTAAATATATACATGTTCCTAATCGGATTTCTTCTCTTAAACTTTAGAATTTTTAATATCTTTACTTAAATTATGAATTTATATCTATTAATTATTTAATTAGACAGTAAACTATAACAAAAAACATATAATTATTATATATATATATTATATAAATTACTTAGTCTATTTTTTCATACAAAAATTCTATTTATTTATTAATCTTTTTCTCTATTTAATTTATATTGGTAGAATTTTAAGGAATCGTTTCATTTTTTTAAAATTATTCGATTTTTTCCATCATTAAATTAGTTACATGTTTTAAATCGAGAATATCTTTATTGCATTTTTAGATATTTACAATGTAATTTTAATCAATTTAATTAAATGATTAATTATGATTATTATTTATAATTCTTTCAGGCTATAAATTATCTTAATATAATTCTTTATTTTAAACTTAATTTATCAATTATTTGATTTTTTTTTAACTATAATCAAGTATTGTTTCAATTTCTTTTTATTTTTGATTATATTTTTTATTTATTTAGTTTTCAAAGTAAATCTATTATTTATTTGTTTTTTTTTTTTTTTTAAAAAAAAAAATTATTATTTTATATACAAATCTCTCTTCAACATCAAATTTTGAATCTAATACTTTGCATTTCATATCAATATCAATATAAATTTTATTTTAAAAATTTTTAAAATCTTATTCCTAATATAAATATGATATATTTAATAAAATAAACAAAAAAAATTGGTAATTTAATTAACATAATTATCTAAACAAGTTTAATAAAGCTAATTTATCTTTGTTAAATTTTCACATTTTTCATTTATCCCTTCTACTTTTTTTTCTATATTTTCTATTTTCTCTTTAATTTTATCATTATCAACAATTGAATCAGTAAATTTTTTTAAGCATTATTCCAAAAATTATATATAATTTTCTTTATCAGTACAAAATTCTTTTTTTTTTGTATATATTTAACTATAAGTTTTAGCAGACATTTTATTTATTTTCAAACTTTAAACTAAACGAAAAAAAAAAAAAAATTATATTGAAAATTATTTAAATATAAACAAATAATATTAAATATAATTTAAAATAATTATTTATTTCAAAATAAAAAATAAATATTTAACCATATTTTTTTTTTTTAAAAAAAAAAATAAGAATATAATAACAATTAAACAATAAAATAAAAAATATCAAAACATATATATAATAATAGCAAATCACTTTAAACCTTATCCAAGTCTATTTAATAATGAAGACTTATATTATTCGAAATCAGGTGCATTACCTTCAACTTCTTTTCTTATTAATTTACTAGCCCACCGCCTTTCCGCATCTAATAAATAAAATAATAATAAATAAACAAAACATAAAAATACCTTTACAAACATCAGAAATATTTCTTCCTGAAAAATTATCAGACATTTAGGCCAATTATTATAATTAGTTTTAATTCAATTGTTTAGCATATCTTTTAAAAATAGCTTCTCTTGAAAGAGTATCTGGATTTTCAAATTTAATAGAAATATCGATTCTAGAAAGCATAGCTGCATCCAAATCTTATTTTCTATTAGTCGCACAAATCAAAAGAACATCTTAATTACTTTCAAAACTATCTATTTTTCTTAATAAAGTTGATAAAATTCTTCTAGATGCTTCATGCATATCAGAATCTATAAAATGAAAATATTAAAATAAAAATAAAAATAAATATTAACAAATATATATGAATAAAAAAAATATATATATTTAAAAATATAATATATATATATACATATATTTATATATATATATATATTATAATATTGCATTTATTTTTATAATTATTATTTTTGATATAATATTTAAAATAATTATTTTATATAAATATACCTCTTGATCCTGCTATTGCATCAATTTCATCAATAAAAATTATTGTTTTACCTAATTATTTACAAGCTTCCCATATATCTGATAATTATTTTTCTGATTCTCCGTAAAACTTAGACATAAAAGCTTCTAAAGGCATATAAATTAGAGGAATATTAACCTATTATGCAATTATTTTTGCTGAAGTTGTTTTTCCAGTCCCTGGTGGTCCTTCAAATATTACAGCCTTAGGTCTATTAGGTTCTTATTTCATTCTTGTAACATTTGTAATTTTATCATAAATATCAGGATATTAAAGTGATAAAAGTACTGTATCTTCAATATCTCTTTTTTACTATTCATATCCTGCTAAATAATCCTTAAATTATATAATTTAATTTAATATAGTATTATAAAATACCCAATCTAAATCAGAATTTTTTTATTCTGGCATAAATACTGTAACACCTAATTAATCTAATTTCTAAAGTAATTATTTTATTCCTTTTTATTAAAATTCTTTTCTTGTATTTTATTATGTTTATTAATTTTTAAATCTTTCTTTTGCAAAGTTTAACTATTAAGGTTTATAAGCTTCTATATAACAATTTAAAAATGCTTAAATATCTAAATCACTTATTTCATCATTTTTTTCTAATGTAAATTTAAATCCAGGTCTATCAGCCATCATTTCTCCACTTATGAATATTGTTCCATTTGTAATTAATTCTATTTTGTTATAGTTTAAGTCAAAAAAAAATTTACATATATATATATATATAAATATAAAAATTTAATATAAATATAAATAATTATATATATAAATATATATATATATATATATATATATATATATATATATATATATATCTGCTTTTCTTAGTTCCTGAACATTATTCGAAATCTATTTAAATACTTAAAATAGTTTTTTCTCTTACTGTATTTAAATTTTTTATTTTAAAATTATTTTCATCTTTCTTTTTTTCATATGTATCTAATACTGTTATTAATAATTAATATATATCACATATTCTTTAATCGATTGTAAAATCTATTTAATATTTGCTTCCTCTAATATTATATCTTTTTTTTATTTTTATATTGTATTTTTATTTTTAAAATAAAAAAAATCAACCTCACTTCTGGAAAAAACGCAATTTATCCATATTCTTTCTTAAGCTAAACTATTTATGATTCTATTACTTTTTTAGCTTTTGATATAACTATATCTTCTATAGCTTTTGTTTACTTATTAGAATATATTTATAAACCAAAAATAATTAAGCCTGGGAATATAATACGGTTTTTATTTTGATATTTTTAAGGAATTTATAATGCTTTCTTTTTTAAATTTTTTAATAACAAAAATGGAATATTTAATCTTTTAATAAATATATTCATTTTTTATTTATTTACTTTTATTTGTGTTAAATCTTATTTTATTTTTTTAATATAAATTAAATATTTAATAATTAAAATAAAAAATTGAATCAAAAGAAAGTTCTAAATATTTCTATGAATTAAAATATTCTTATATTTATATTTTATAAATAATTATTCATATTTAGAAATTAAATATTTTGGATTTATTATATAATTTTATTTAATAAAATTAAAGTTCTAATTTTTAAAGAAAATTCTATATCTTAAATAATTAAAATAAAATTATATCAAAGTTAAAATTAGATTTAATTTTAAATTAAAATATAAATATAAAAATAAAAAAAAAAAAATTAAAATTAATTTAATTAAAGTTTCTAAAGTAATATAAAATTATAAGTTTTATGTAATAAAATTTTATTTTTTTTCGTGCATATTATTTTGAAATAAATTAGATATATTAAAATTTATGAGAATATTAAATAATTTTCTTTATAAAAAAAAATTAAAATTAATAAAATAAAATAATCTAATGATAAAAATATAATATATATTTACTTATTTTATATAATATTATTATTTATTTTTAGTTTTATGTTTTGCAATGTTTTTTATTGGTTTATTTGTAATTATTTTATAATTAAATTAATATAATTAATATATATTAATAAATATATTAATATTTAAAATAAAATGTAAAAATAAATATATATAAATATATATATATATATATATATATATATATATATATATATACTTCTATATATATTTTAGTACCAATAATAAATAATTTCAATCTATAATAAAGAAGCGAAGAAAAAAAATGCATATTTAATCAAAAAAAATGAAAAACTATAATCAATTATCAATTAATATAAAAGCTCTCTATTATAAATTTAAAAATAAAATAAAAAATAATAAACCTTGATTTTAGTATAATTGATTTTATAAACAAATTTTCAAACTATAATTATTTATACTGTAAAGAACATAATTTAATTTTAAACTAAAAACTATTTAAAGGAATAACACAAAGTAAAAAGAGTATAATTATTAAGAAAATTTATTTAGAATGTTGTTAAATGATATGGAATAAAAATAAATATTTTATTCAATTTAAAATCTCATAAAGCATTTTACTTGTATATAATAACAAATTTGATCAACTATAAATGAAAATGGAATAATATATTTTAATTGTAAACATATAACAAAAAAAAATTAAGAAAAGGACAAAAAATAGGCGATAACAAAGACAAATCTAAATTGAAATTAAAAAAAAAATGAAGTGTGTGGTGTGTGTTTTATATATTCTATTATTTTTCATCTTTTAGTTATAAATATATATAGATTTATCATTAAAAAAATAAAATATATATTGACAAAAGATTATATTTATTATATTTTTGAAAAAAAAAAAAATATATCTTTATATATATAAAGATAATAATAAAATTTATAAATATAAAAATATAATATAAATTAATGACAATTGCGATATCCATTACTTTCTATAATACAAAGAAATTAAACTAAAAAAAAGTTATTTTACAAAAGAAATGCTTACAAATGTTAAACTAATTATATTTTTTTATTTAATTAATCTTGTTGAAGACCGAAAAGTTAGATTTTATATGTATTACTTTAATGTGTTATAGAGTTTTTGTATATTCGTTAAATAGGTTTTTTTTTTTAAAAAAAAAAAAATCTATAGTTCATAATAAAAAGAAAGGGCAATTAGTAAATACTATAAATTAGAAAGAATCACAATTAAATTTGAAAATTAAATAATTAACTTAATTTAAAGATAAAAAAAAAAAATGTTGGTCAATAACTTTAACTAAAAAATACTCTAATTTATTTTATTTCAATTAATAAATATTGTCAAAACTATTTTTTATATTATTTTTGAAATAAAATGTAAACGAATATTTTTATCATATTTTATTTATTTTTTATTAAAATCAATAAATTCCTTAAAATAATAATTCAATTATTTTTTTTGTAGATAATCCAAATTAGTAAGACGCTTAAATTTTCTAAAATGGATTGCAAATTTTTTAATTTAAAAAATAATTATTGTTTTGAAAATAATGGAAATTTTGATTAACAATATTTTATTTTGTAATAATTATAGCCATCCCTAATAAACGTATTACGATTATTCTAATATATATTAATCTTAATTGTTTTTTATATATTCATCATTTATTTAATAAACAATATTAATTTATTATTTTTATTATATGAACTATATTTTTTTCCCCAATATATATAATAAATATTAATCTTTTCTATTATCTTAAAATTAATTAAAAATATAGATAAATAAAAATTAATTTTTATTAAAAAATCATAAATTTTTAATTAATGCAAGAGTAGTTGGAAATTCAAATAAAGAGTATAAATAGTTAGTGTTAATATATATTAATAGTTCATACTGTTTCTTTATATTTTTTAAAAAATTAAATTTAAACAAAAAGTTATTAATTTAAAATATTTCCAAGTAAGCAACCAATAATTCGTAAATAAAGTAAACAAAAATTTTAAATAAATTATTAATTTTAAAAAAGAAAAATAATTAGTTGAGCTTTTAAACAATATTAAAGAAAAAATAAAAAATTAAATATATATGAAGAAAAAACAATTTAATAAATATAAATAACAAAAAAGTAATAAAAATATATTTAGATTTATAAATTTCTAATACTAATTTATATAAAAAAAAAAACACAAGATAATATAATAATTACAAAAAAAAAAAAATACTTTAAATTTAAAATATATAAAAAATTATTAAAAGATAAATAAGAATTAAAAATTGAAGAAAATAAAATAAAAATAAAATTATTAAGAAATAAAATCAAATAAAATCAGTTTTTAGTAATTAATTAAAAAATTAATCAAATAATAATGGAAATATTAATTTGGTCTTTTAATAATAAATAAAAGTAGGTTGTTAATTAGAAAATAATTAAGATTCATTAATCCAACTTATTTTAAAATAACATTTTCCTTAAAAATTTATGTATCCAATTATATTATAGGGAATATTAATCTAATGTTAACCATAAATTAAGTTTAATTAAATATTTTAAATTTAGTAAAGTTGATCTAATATTAATCTTATAAAAAAATTATATTATTAATTTATTAAAGAAAAATAATAAAATAAAATAAAAATAAATATATATATATTTATATCTAAAATAATAATTAATAAATATATTAATTTTATATTAAAATATGTTTATAAATTAAAATTATATTTAATAAATTTTATATTTTAAGCATTTTTCTTAAAATAATTTTTTATTTAAATAATTCTTATAAAAATTTTATATTAATTTATTTTTGAAATAAAAAAAAAAAATTATAATAATTTATTTTAGTTAAATTTAAAATATTAATATTATATTATATTACTTTTGCTAGTTTAATATATTTAGCTCTGTTAATTTTTTTTAATGTTTCTATTTATTATTATGTTTTTAATTATCTAAAACATTATATAATTTTTTAAAATTTTCTTATTATATAAAGTTACTCTTTTAATCATTTTATATTTCATATGATAGTTACTATTATTAATATGTTTTATCTAAATATTTTATTTTATAATATAAAAAATAGAATAAACAAAATAATTTACTTTCATAAGCTATTTAATTATAATATTAATTAAAGGTATCTATTTAAATGTTTTTGTCATTTTTTATTAGAGCTGAATTCGAAATATTATATAATTCTTAATTAAATTAATCATTATTAATTAATTCAATTGAATTATTGTTTTATTCATTTTCATTTTATCCAATTTGATAAAAAATAAAATCATATATTTGACTTTTATCATTTAAAACTTAGTTTTAATTATTATTTTAACTTAGTGATATATTTAATTATGAGTTACTCTCAGTATTAATTAATTTTTTTTCATTTATAATCTGATTTTTATTTTATTTTTCAACATTGTTCTATATGTTCTAGTTTTCATATTTTATACTTTATGTTTCATATAACAAGTTTGTTTTTTAATTTTATTCTTCATTTCTAATTCAAAAAAAATATATAAACTTTATAACATATATTATTTTTTAGCATAATTTATTTTAATTTTTTCTGTATTTTTATTTTTAAAAAAAAAGAACTCAATCAAAAAAAAGTCTATAATCAATATTTTCTCGCATTTTTTTTTATTCAATTGTGTTTTTTTTAAAAAAAAAAATCACAGAAAAAATTAAAATAAAAAAATTGAAAAGTAGTATTTGAAAACCTAAATTTTTTATATTTTGTCTATTTTAATTTTAT